GCAGCAGAATGGCAGCAACATGCTTGTTAATGCATCGCAACAAAATATGCCTACGCAACCGGTGTATATACATCCAACAACATTTGCTTGAATAAGTTTAATTAATACATGTACCAACTTGCTTACACCTAGTTCGGTTGATTCCGCTATATAGCGGCCAAGAGGCTGCGAACAACCAATTACATATTTTCGGTTCCACAATTCCACACAAAAAACTTATCGACCTTCCGGAGTCTTCTGGTCAACCGGAAGACTGGCCAATTTTTTATACAGCTTACGTCGAGTCGACTGCAGCATATAGTTACACGAATTTTGAAAATAATCAACGCCTTTATAAGTGCTCCGATTTCGGAAAATAGAGTAGGCAAACGTGTGTAATTTGCTACAACAACAAAAAATTTTACTATATTTTTAAAATCAATCAATGGTGAGCACCATTTAGCTAATCCAACGATGTTGGAGGAGTTGGTAGGGAAGTTTGCAAAAAGTTTGAATGGGCCAGACGTACAGCAACCCTTTCACCGTATCCAAATATAGAACATTTTAGTAACTGGCTGTCAGAAATTTCCGATTTAGTTTCCGTTGTGTTAGACCATGAACAGCGAGGATATCGACGTATACCCGTTTTTCATTTAGCTCAGATTCAACGTGACAACTCCACAAGTACCATGAAGTGCCCCGTATGTAGTGCCAAGCATTTAGCTTTCGAGTGCAAGCGACTTTTAGACGCCAACGTAGCAGATCGGTGGTCTATGGTTAAACGACACCGACTCTTTTTTAGTTGCTGAAACTGTGGCCATTCAAACAAACTTTTACATGAACAACGAATTGTAAGATCAAGAGATACGGATGGGCCCACGACAAATAGTACAACTCAGACTTCCATCCCCACAAATGTGGCCGTTTTAAGTTGCAAAGCCAACAACCATCCCAACAATAAATTACTTTTTCGGGTTTTGCCTGTAACCCTTCATGGGCCATCTAAAAGTATAGATACATACGCATTACTGGATGAGAGATCGTCAGTGGCAATGGTCGACAAAGAAGTACTGGAAGTGTTAGGCGTCAGTGGTCAACGTAAGCAGCTTGACATACAGTGGTTTGGAGATAGAGCGATCCAGGAGCCCACAGTTTTAGTTGATCTTTATGGCCCCTATTGCGAGTGTCGACTGGCAGTAGAATAGAAATTTGTCGATCGAGTCGATCATCTTTTATTTTGCTATTGTGTAACTTGATCGATAAAAATTTGTACTATTGTGAATGGTGGCGGAATTGTAAACAGCTGTTTGTTTGTTTACATTTGTTTCTTTAATGTTTCATTTACATCATATTTAAAATAATTGCTTTTATTATAAAATTTAAAAAATGGACACAGTTGAAATATGGTTTAGTGATGAGGAAGATGATGTGGAAGCTAATAGATTAGTAGAGTTGGCTAAAGCAAGGAGGGAATCGCGAGATTCGTCGGATCCCATGGAGTTGGAAGATGAAGTGTATGTACATATGTGAATTTTATGAATAGAAGTTGCGTTCCCGATGTTTCAAGGTTTTTAGGTTTTACAGGATTTGCAGGAAAAGCTGTTTTCCTCATTAATAAATTTTATGGAAGTTTAAGAAATACGGTACCGTTTAGTTATTTGTACAATGATGTTGGGTATTTGTATCCAAACGCGTGACCCGAGTTTTAAAACTTTACTATACAAGTGTAGTGAAAGAATTAAACTTTAATTTAACATAAAGATTTCAAGTTTCCGAGCATTAGTTAATTAATAAATTATGCAGTTTTTTGTAAACTTTGATGTTGGTTCTGCGCAAAAACACTGTGGATGGCGTAGCCGGAATTATATGCACAAGAAATATTGTATATCTTTCACAAAAGAAGCGGAGCTTCCTCCCCTGCTCTTTACGGAAATTCCTTTGCCTATGTCCTCACTCTCCTGCATCAGCTCGACCAACCGCGCAAGTTGCCTTTTGTTGCTTACAATTTTTTTTCTGTAATTCAGACACATATGTACATACATATGTATATTTCACATTTTTTTACAACTTCCAATTCAATTGACTTACTTTTTATCTATTATAGTACCACTTTCTTATGTAAATTTTATAAACGCAAACTCCAACGACTAAAAAACAACAATAGAAGGATGAGCGATTAAAAAGTATTCACAGTCGCTAATTGAGCGACTAAGCGACACTCACAATAGCATCGATAACACTAAGTAACAAAAAAAAAAAATTTCTCAGTCCTTGGGATGTAATTGTTATTTCCTAGTCTGTTATGCCTTAAAAGTATGGAAACCACCTAATATTCCTCGGAAACTTTGCTTTTGTGACCAGGACGATGTGATTCATTAAAATATGCTAAAATTATGAACAGAACAGCACATATAAATCAAAACTAAATTTTATTAAAACTTCAGAAAACCAAAAACATAAAAGTAAATCAGAAGCGGGTGGTTTTTCGACATTTGCGTTTAAACTGCGAGTCACTTTCTCTAATCAATCCCCAAAAAAAAAGCAAAGTTATCTTGCGACAATAGCTGCTTTCTATACTTTTGGGACCTAACTGACTAGGAAATAACAATTACAACCCAGGGACAAAAACCTTGTTACATAGTGTAATCGATAATCGCTTAATAGTCGTTTATCTACTGCCAGTCGACACTCGCAATAGGGGTGTATGTAAATGGGCGTGGGTTAGGGAAAAAGCGTAAGTTACGCAACATTTACGGAGTAAGCAATCTCAATCTACCTACGCAAACCTTGTTAGGGCCAATTTCAAATTAATATTTAAACGGCACTTAAGTTTAATTGTGGATTGTTGTTTAAATGCCATTTAGCTTTCGTTCGGTTTCAGATCAACTTTGTTTAAATATGCCAAAAAATTGGCAGCACTGCTGCTTGTTCCTTGGAGTTGTTGTTGCATTTGCTTGTTTGTTTACATTTTGTGCTGAACAGCTGATTGTGTTTTGGTGCGATTGATTAAACAACCTACTCATATTAATTACGTTATTTCCAAAGCTTATGCTATGCTCGCTTTTGTTCAGCGTAATAGTCGGTCGTTTAGGGATCCCTATACCCTTAAGCTTCTGTATGTTTCATTGGTGAGATCTAGGTTAGAATACTCGTCCTTCATTTGGCGACCATATCAGTCCGTCTACTCAAACAGGTTTGAAAGGATCCAAAAAGTTTTTATAAAATTTGCCTTGCGTTCCCTGAGGTTTTCGGAGCCTGTACCCCCATATGCATCTCGTTGTCAACTCCTTGGCTTAAATTCGTTAAATAGTAGGCGCTCATTCCTCGATGCCTCTTTTGTGGCTAAAATAGTGGAAGGTTCTGTCGATTGCTCTACGCTTTTGGAGAAGTTATCTTTAAATGTTCCGTCTCATAGCTTGCGGCGTGCTTCATTATTTTATTTGGGATTTCCGAAATCCAACTATGTGAAATTCTCGCCTCTCCTTAGAACCCTCTCCGAGTTAAATGAGCTTTCGGAATATGATCTATCGCTCTCATTTGAAACAGTACGTCGTGTCCTGCTAAATAACTTTAGGTAGTATTTATGCTCCTTTGCCTTAGTCAGTAAGGATTTGTATTCCATTTGAATGAATAAACAAATAAATAAATAAAAGTAGCTCTGTAAAAATGAAATGTGGAAGTTAATCAACAATCTCTACTTAAGTAGGTCATCTGAAATTGGGCCTCAGAAAAAGGTTTGGTTAATCTAAAGAGTAGCAATAAATGTAACCCTTTGTGTTACTACGATGTTACGCCGAAGCTCCTTATAGGTTTAGATTACTGCCACTTAGGGTTGCCTACTGAGACCATGGGCATTGGAGGACATGGTCCGTATGCAGCTAATACCGATCTTGGTTGGGTCAACTTTGGACCTTCCAATAGAGCATCCAATCCAAATGCTACGTGTCTAATGTTGTATTCACCGAAGGAGTCGGAGCTTCACGATATGGTAGCTGACTATTTTGAAACGGAAAACTTTGGTGTGAAAGCTGTATCCCCGATACGAAGTGCTGAGGACATACGTGCAAAGAAAATCTTGGAAGCTACTACTCAACAGATCAACGGAAGGTTTCAAGTTGGTCTGCTGTGGAAAACAGATGACGTTGTGTTGCCGGAAAGTTACACGATGGCTTTGAAGAGATTGATTGGCATTGAGCGCAAAATGAAACGTAATGTAGAGTTTGCAACAGCATACAAAGGGATAATCGACAGTTATCTTAGAAAGGGTACGCCCGCACACTGCTTGCTGAAGAAGCCACTACGTACCATCCGAGGAACTGGTACCTGCCACATTTTGCAGTCCTCAATCCTAATAAGCCGACGAAACTACGTCTCGTTTTTGACGCGGCAGCTTGTTCGAATGGAACGTCACTCAACTCAAACCGGCTGAAAGGACCACAGGATTACCGACCGGTCCCCGCAATACTGTACCATTTTCGCAAAGGCCAGTGGCAGTATGTGGCGATGTAATGGAAATGTTCCATTAAGTCGTAGCGTGGAGGAGACGATACAAAGCCGGCAGACGTTTTGAGATGGTTTCGATGACCTTTGGAGCAACTTGTTCACCATGTGCAGCTCATTATGTGAAGACGATGAACTCCTTGCAACATCGTAAAGCAGATAATTTGCGAGCAGTGAAGGCCATACTGGAATATCGTTACGTGGATGATTTTGTCGACAGTTTTGAGTCCGTAGCTGAAGCCATTAAAGTCACTAAGCAGGTATGCGACATCCATAAACATTCTGGGTTTACTCTACGTCACTTCGCCTCGAATTCGCCTGATGTCTCAAAATCACTGGGATGCGATGAAGTTGCAGTGAACATGCAACGAAAATAAAGCTTTTCACCTGAAAAAGTTTTGGGGATGTATTGGCGACCCAGCAGTGACGATTTCAACTTCGAGGTTAAATTCAACTATACTGACAAGACTGTCTTGGATGGATCGAGAAGCCCAATAAAACGAGAACTTCTTAGTATTGTTATGTCGATATTTGATCCCATAGGGGTTTTGTGTCACTCCACGATCGTGGCGAAGTTGATACTAAGAGAAGTTTGGAGTTATCGGGTCAGATGGGATGATGATATTCCAGTTCAAGACAACTCAGCATGGGAGAGGTTCCGAAAGCAAATTCCCGACGTGACACAATGCCACATTCCGCGCCATTATTTCGACAATAAGACTATAAAGCAATTGCAACTGCACATATTTGTTGATGCAAGTGAGCACGCATTCGCAGCTGTAGGCTATTGGAGGTACATAACAGATTGTGGCAAGATAGGTATGTCGTTTGTAAGCGCTAAGACTAAAACTGCTCCATTGAAGCCTCTAACGATTCCGCGTCTTGAACTTCGAGCAGCTGTTCTGGGTGCAAGGTTAAAGAAAATTATGTTTCAGGAACATTCGTTAGAAATAAATGAGCTCTTTCTATGGAGCGATTCAAGCACCTTCCTACATTGGATAAATAGCGAGCACCGCATATACAAGCCCTTTGTCGCGCACAGGGTTGCGGAGATTCTTGACGGATCTAAGCCGAGCAATTGGAGATGGGTGCCCACGGCCGACAATGCTGCTGACGAAGCTACGCGAACCAAGGGTCCGATAGACTTCTCGTCATCATCGCGTTGGTTCAGTGGGCCAACATTTCTTAAAGGCATACGAGAGCATTGGCCTGTTTTTGAATCCGCCAGAAAAGTAAAGACTGTAGGTAACGATGACGAGGAGATCAAACCGAAATTTGCGTTAATGGTTGCGCGTAACACTCTAATCGATTTTAATCGTTTTTCATCGTTTACCAAGCTTAGACGTACTAACGCTTATATCCTTAGATTTATTACGAGATGCAGAAAGCAGAAGACAAGCCAGCAAACTTATGGACTAACAGCAGAAGAGATTGAAAAGGCGCAAATAACGTTAAGTCGTCTGGTTCAAAGGGAAACGTATGCCGTCGAGTTAAATAGCATTGCCTTGAACTAACCAGTTGCGCATAACAGTGAATTACATCGATGAAGATGGTGTGCTAAGAGTCTACGGGAAAATTGATGCTGCCACTTGGCTTCCGCGTTACGTCAAACGTCCAATTATCCTGCCACCAGGCCATGAAGTTACGAAGTTGATAGTCGCTTACAAACACAGTAAGATGTTTCATCAAAACACAGAGGCAACCATCGCAGAAATTCGCCGCACATTTTGGATCCCACGACTTCATCAAGTTCTGCGTTCCGTCGTCACTAATTGTGTCGTATGCAAAGTATCGGAAGCAAGACCTGTTGCTCCGTTAATGGGATCACTACCGCAGGATCGTCTAACGCCATATGTCCGACCGCTTACGTTTACTGGCCTCGATTATTTCGGGCCGAACAACGTTGCGATAGGTCGACGAACGGAGAAGCGATGGGTTTGCCTATTTACCTGCCTCACGGTGCGGGCCATCCATTTGGAATTGGCACAGGATCTCTCGACTGACGCTTGTATTCTATGTATACGCAACTTTATCAAATAACGAGGAGTACCCGCACGTTTGCGTTCTGACAACGGAACACACTTTATTGGAGCAGAAAAGGCGGCTAAGAAGTTCACGGAAGTCTTTGATTGCGAGAAGATCCACGATGAGCTGTCGTGGAAGGGAGTTCAGTGGATATTCAACTGGCCGAGTAATCTGTCAGAAGGTGGAGCGTGGGAACGAATGGTCCAGTGTGTCAAACGAGCCCTGTGGCACACTCTGAAAGAAGAATCTCCGAGAGAGCATACACTGATAAACGTGCTAATCGAGATCGAGAACGTTGTCAATTCCAAGCAACTGACCCACGTTCCAGTAAGCAGCGAACAGGAAGAACCACTGACGCCAAATCATCTTTTCTTAGTCTCGGAGAACACGGCTAACACTCCGAGCGTTGAGGATCCAATCAAGAAGTCGTGCACTGTGCGTAAACAGTGGAGGTTATCACGTCAATACCGAGATCGTGTCTGGAAACGCTGGATAGCAGAATATCTGCCAACGTTGACGCGATGGGTTAAGTGGTGCCGCAGAGCAAGGGGATTACAGGTCGGCGATTTAGTACTCATTTGTGAGGCGAGCACATCATGAAAGGGTTGGTGCCGTGGCAGAGTGATGCAAGTATACAGGGGGACTGATGGGGAGGTTCTTCGTGCTGACGTTCGCACTAGCGGTGGTATGTTACGGCGTCCTGCATTCAAATTGACCAACCTGGACGTGGCGGACGAATAATGATAGAACGAAGCGTTCCACGGGGTGGGGGATGTGATAAATTGAGTAGCACAATTGTGAATTCCCCCATTCAATCTTATAACTCGACGTTTTCAATGTGTTTAGCACTTTAGTTTGTAATTCGTAAATATGGGTCACCCAGTTCTTAGCTCTTGCATTCCTCACTCATTCCTTTACTTCTAATTATCAGTTGCGTTCCCCAACTTTTCTGGGCTAAAACCTGTAAAACTGTCAAAAGGCAATAGAAGCCAGAGAGCCGAGTACGGGAACGCTTTCTGGCAAATTCCTGTAAATTCTTGCAACTTCTTGCGAGTTAGGGAACGCAACTATCATTTAAATTTGCGCTTGTTCATTCCATATTTTTCATTTGCTGAAGTAAGAGGGCAAAACAACTGTTTTTATTGTTGCTTATTAATTGTTCGTTTATAGAAATAAATGCTTCCGCTACCCTTTGTCATATTGTAAGTGTTCGTAAGTGTCTTTAATCGCCATCGAAGTGGAAACATTAAATCTGCAAGCCCTCGGACAGATGACAATTACAGTGTGGAAGATTTGAACGCAAATGAATTCGGTTTTGAAAGCCGTCAGGAGGAGGGGAAGAGCAAAGGAGGAGGCGGACAACATACGCACCTCTTTGTAAAAAGTTAGTAAAATATAGTACAATACTAAAAACATCTTTTTGATGTAACTCCACATTTTATGTATGTTTATTTTACATAAAAAGAATAAATTGTATTCAGTGCATTTCACAGTCTTATTTATAGATAATGAAAACAAAAACGGCTGGACTTCCTCTTTGAAAACCCCGCGCAATATCCCTTTTGGCTACCATTATTTGAGGCAATTTTTCGTATTGCCCGTATTGCCGCTCGCGAAAACACAGAAATCGAGAAAATTCATTTATGACGACTTTTTTACAATCATGCACAGTATATTTTACTTATTTTTTTTAAATAAAATTTTATTATTTAAACCTACGAAAATAACAATCGAATCGTTCTCCGTCAACAAATTTGCAACTTAGAAAAACGGAACTACGATCGAAATGTAGAATAGGTATAATCATAAATTTCAAAGATTGATCGAAACAAAATTTCGATTCGAGTCGAAATGCAGAATAGGGCGTTATAAATTAAATAATTTATCATAAATCAGGAACCAAATGAAGAAAAAAAGAGATTTAGTGAAAAAGTGTGCATGTATTGCTATTGTCATGTCAGTATTGTACAGTGTAAATCCTAAATAAAAGGTTCATTCCTTATCTTTTTGGACTAAAATCTGAAAAGTGTCAAAATGCCAGAGCGTAAGCAAAATGCGCTCACTAAAAGAGAGTAACAGAAAAAAGTAAAGGAACGCAAAAAACCAAATTTTTAGTCCAAAGAATGGCAACAACAACACTAACGTCAAATAAGAAAGAAAAGTATGTACAAAACACATTCACACAAGCACAAGCACAATAAACACTTACTATATCAATTATTTTTTGCTTCCTTCCAATTTCAATTCACTTTTTTTACTTTTTAGGTTATTCTCACTTTTTGTGTATTCTTTAATTTCCGTTAATTTAAATTCTGTTGAGTTTGACACTTTTCAGGATTTTGCCAGAAAAAATTCTTCTGACTAAATCTGACTACTTCGGACTGAGAGAGTCAGTCTCACTGAGTATTGCTCTCTCATTTTTGCTGTCATTTTCGAGTTAAGGAACGCTTTTTGGACTAAATCTGACTACTTCGGACTTTTTCTGACTATTTTTGGGAGATAAGGAACGCAACTAATTTCGACTTGAATTGCAGCACATTTATCAGTGTTGCCATAAGTCACGATACATAAGAATTCAAAGTAAGGCTATCCACATACTAGTCATGCAAGTAATTTTTTGTGCAACGGCACAGTTATGCTACTGAAGGAAAAAAATTTAGGTTGCTAAATCCTGCAGCTGGTTTTTATAAATTTCTGGAAACCAATTGAAACCTGTGCTTGAAACGGTTTCGGTTTCGTTCCTTTTCAGGTCAAGATAACGGTTACGGTTTCGGTTTCGGTTTTGAAAGACGAAACGGTTTTAAATAGTTACGGTTTCTGTTTCGGTTTCATTCCTTGAAAAAAAAACATCTCTTTCTAGTAGGCGTATGCGTGCTTAGTCGATTGTTCCAAAATTTTTTATAAACATTGCCTCTTATTTCAGTAAAGTAGACGTTGAAAATGTTTGAAATCATTGTAAAGGTACGCAAAAATTTAAAAAATTTTCGAACCGACACTATCTTCGCTTACCTCCCATATAATGGTAATAATAACGGACAATGCAACAAATGCGATATTTCACTAATAACTATGGCTAACTTCCAAAACGTCAATTGCTTTGCATCCGTACAAAGTATAATTTTCCACAGCGCCGAAATGGTTGAAAATGTATACTTTTCCAAAGGCATCCGAAAATTTATCGCAACGCATCGCTAGAGTAATCAGCATATCAGAAATAAAGGTGATACTCCGTTTGTTTTTGGTTTATATTGGTGTTTTAAAAATGGAAAATTCCGAAAGGGTGATCATCAGGAAACGGATTTTCAGGACCTAAAAACCTATAAAATAGGCAAAATTAAATACTGAAATAGGCTAGAAAAGGCAAAATAAAATAGCGAAATAGGCGGGAAAAGGCAATAGAAATGGCAAAAAAGGCGAAATAAGGCACTAAAAAAGACAAGAGCCGAAAAAAATCAAAAAATACATTTATTTTAGAAATGTTTATTTAACAAGTAAAAAGAAAAACTATGAAACGTTTTAAACTTTCATATTATCAGTAATAAGGGCTTTTTCCTTACCCTTTACAACTAAAGGCCAGTATGCAGCTCTCACGAAAACGGACAAGAAAAAATTTCCATTATTTCGTATGTGTGCCTAAGGAACTTGGACATCTGTTGCTTGACATCCTGTTGCCTTACTATTTCCTCAAGAAATAATAGAACGGGAATATATTTCTGTTGCTAAAATCAGTTGCCTTGTGCTCGTTTTTCACAAAAAAAAAACTTAAGAAAACCGTCCTAGCAAATGTTTTAAGAACTGCATACTGCCTTAAGAAAATTTGACACAAGCAAATTTCTTAGCCATTTCTTGTACGTCATTTTGTAAGGAGTTTTTGCTTTTCTTGAGAGCTACATACTGGCCTTTAAGATAGAAGAGGCAAACAAGGCAAACATCTTAAAAAAGGCAACATCAAATGTGTATATGACACATTCTTTTTCATATCGGACACCAAATTTGGTGTCATAAGTTCGATTGGCTTAACAATTTTTTTATGGGTTCTATACATGAAATAAGCTAACACGTGTTCGAGGATTTTTTTTCGCTTTTTTCTTTGGAGATATGATCTGTCAAAGTTTGCATTTTTTTCGTGATTCTGACTAATAAATCATTAAGACTTCATCTTAACGTCGTTTTAAAGCTAAAGAAACGGGCTTATTTAGTATTCTTATATATAAGATTGTCAATATTGTTTTTGTGAGAATCAACAATTTTTTTGTAATTTGTTTTCCAAAACTTATGTTGAGATACATTTAGTAAGGTGTTAAACATCGAGTTTTTGCAAGAATTTAAATTTTATTGCCGATTCCGATAGAATACCTACACTGAGCCAAAAGCACAATGGTTTCTTCAACCACGTTATGGTTTAATTTTTTCATGGTTAATAAGCCGATTCTAAGAAATGTTATTCAAGTTGAACATTTGAGAACAAATTCGCAGTATGGCAGTGGCT